GCGGTAATTAAAAGATGAATCGTCCTCGTGGTCCTCACAGCCTCTCTCACAGCCCGTCTCACTCGCACCACCATCTCTCCCTCTCTCTCTCTGTCTCACACACACGCTGAGGTTCGAATACAAATTATGCTTCATTAGGCCAGATAACGCCCCAGATCAAGGCTGCAACATATATCCACCAAATACATTGGCTGCATGGTACGTATGTATGATTGATTAATGCTCTTAACATGTCCGCAGCAAATTGGAATGGAATGGAACGGAACGGCATTGGAATGTGCCGGCGATGGGCGGTAAAAGTCGAGCTAACGGTCTATGGATAACGATTTTCACTCGATTTTGAACTAATGATATTTCGCCTTTTCAATCTTTGTAGAAATGTGACGTTGTTAATCATCAGGAATGGTGGCATGTTATCATCGGGAATAGTGGAATGGAACAGCTCAACAGTTCCTTATAATTCCCAATCAGCGATATCTTGGTAGTGGAACTACACTTACTAACTTAACATAATTAACAGATGCTTGTGACTGGCCAACATATGTAAACGAAACTTAAGTGGAAAAGCCCAACCGATGGCTCATTAATTATTATCTCGGAGGATCCGCTTCCGAACAAATTTTGTTTTATTGCATTGTGTTTTTTTTTATTGTTCTTTTTTTTTTTTTGTTTTTTATCAGCCAGCTGCAAATTGTTCTTTGAAATTCGCGCGTGCCAAAAATAAATTTCAGCTTTAAAGCGAAACAAAACATAAGAAACTGAGGAAGGGGCCTCGGTTTTATTTTCCTGAGGATGTTACCTGCTGACTTCTGTTTCGGTTTCTGTCTCGTTTTAATTTTTATGGCCCGGCACCCTTGTCTCAAATGCGTTCTGTTCATTTCATTGCCGTTGGCAGCTGTTTGTCGTTTCGTTTTGTTGACCCAAATTTCTTAACCGAAGATTTCTATCAGACGAGCCTGGTCAGAAGTGCATGAAAATTAAAACCCTTTTGGTCGCTGGGGTTACCCCTTTTGGTTTTCGTCTAGTGAAAGTACTTGGCGCGTGACTTCTTCAGCGTAGGGAAAATGAAGGAAAGGACAAAGAAAGTGAGTTCCTGGCCAGCTGTTTGGCTAACTGTAAATGGACAGTTAGGTTCTTAGCCCCCGGAGAAAGTTGTCGCTACCCATTCTTCCAGATCGATCTATCATCAGAGGAAATGGAAGATGGTAAAGATATTGGTTTCCCTACAATAGCCTAGTCGCATGATCCCGTTACCGTCTGGTGAAAGTTATTTTTAGGGGTTTGTGTGGGTAGAATACGACAGATGTTTCCAAATTGAAATATAAAATGGCGCTTAAAGCATTATTAAAACGGTTCGTTTATAAAGAATAAATATGAAGTTAGCTCTAAGTAAGAATGACTAGTAATTTTTCAGATATACTGCACTGTGACTCGAAGCAAATCATGTTTCCCAGGCTTACCCAAATTACATATTAGATTAGAAAAGCCTCGGCACTCAGATTTCCGCATAGAACTCACCTGCAACGAAATGCAATGAAGAGAGAAAATTAATATCGGTTTGTAGGAAAAATGAAGATGAAAATGGCAACTCTTATTAATAGACAATCAATCAGCGGGTTCCGACAAAAGGCCGACAGCCATTGTGGTGTGGAACCAAGCCGATCTTGGCCAGCAATTCATCCATGGACCATAGACTCTATACACCGAACCCCAAGATAATGGCCACTGTATGGCCCCTGCTCTGCAATTAAGCGGCAATTCAGTTCAGAATCGAAATTGGAATTGCAATGGGAATGGCAATGGGCAATGGCAAATGGCAAATAGCAAATGGCCAATGGAAGTGGCCAGACATGGTCACCAAAGGCCCATAGTGCGGAGTCAAGTGCAAACACTTGCGACCTGTCAGCGTCCAGCGACCAGCAACAATGGCCTTCTTGCTTTTCCGCTCTGCGAAATTGATTAAACTCATTCATAATGACAACGGCGGCAGGTCCAATAACGAGTTCTAGAACTGTACCATTTTGATTTGTTTCCCTTTCAGCAGGAACCATTAAGTCGAATACAGTTTGCCTTTCATTAGGGTACTAAAATACAATGAGCCGAAAACTATGTTTTAATCAGCAAAATGTTTAAGACTCCTCTTTTTAGATCGATGTATTTAAGCCGTTTTTAAAGTGGGTTTCCTTGGGTTTTAGTATCGCAGATTCTAATAATTTATGCAAAAATACATGACCACATTTTTAAATCGTGTTTGTGGCCAAAATATATCGGGGTTTCATTCCCCAGTTCACTTCCTAGCTGTTATACTCAAAGCAGAGTGTATCTCCTGTCAACAGTCAATTGTGGCTAATGAACTAATGGACACTTCATGGCCAAAAGCAAGCCGAGTAAAAATCACTTCTCCTTCTCTGTTTGCTTGTGGCCTAAAAAAGTGTGACCAGCCTCGGTTTTGAGGGGGAATGGGGGAGTGGGAGTGGCGAAAAATAGGGAGAAAGGAAAGGCGTGGCCTGCAATTTACACAGGCCGCACAAATGGGGGAAAAAAGATATGATCCAATTCAATTTAAGCGCGTGTCTCATGGCGAAGGTAACAACAATTTCAATGCATATATTTGTATTTGCAGTGACCCAGCTGCATGTGTTGTTGTTGTTCTTGCTTGGTGTTGTACAAATGCAATTACAACTAAAACACACAGCAGGGGAAAAACACGAGGAAAATGGGGGCGGGAAATGGCGGAAAACAGGGGGAAGGGCTAGTCAGTAAACGAAACACGAAGAGCCATCATACACACACACCACCAATGAGGAGGTGGACAAAACGGGGCGGGGGAAAAAGCGACTACAATTTTTTTTTGTTTTTTTTTTCTGTTTTGCTCCGCCCACTTTCCCACAACCATCGAAACGAATGACGAAAAACGCGAATGGGGGAAATTAGGGGAATGTAGCCAGAACCGAGTCAGTACAAAAATGTTTAAGCTGTGAAAATAATAGCAATTAATTGCAATTAAAGATTTTGCATAAATATATGGTCACCTTAGAGCTCCTCAAAAGCATTTGGTCACATTACTTTCGAAACATAGCCAATAATTGGGAAGCACTTCCACCAATCATCAATCAATTTCTTAAAATGTGAAAATATATAAATATACTAAAACATAAACCTGGCTGGCATTTAAAATCAACTGTATTTTCACTTCCAATTGAAAAGCTGTAATACAAATAAATTCGCTTCTTTGAAGCCAAGCTCTTTGTCTTCGCAAACTCCTCATAATTTTTGCATACCGAAAAAGGAAACGTGAATCAATCTACCCTTTTCCCCTACTGAAAAAATATAGGAAAGAGATTGTAGCCGGGGGAGCTAGGGTGTGGGAGGGGGAGGGGGAAGAAAAGGGAAGCGGCACCAGAAGAATTGAAAGGCGTCTGCATTTAGATGAGACAGAGTGGGAGGAGGGGCAATTTCGTGGGGCGGAAAGGGGGGCGGTTTTCCTCTCTAGGTGACGAACGTCATCGTCGCCGCACTCAAATCGTGGGAAAATGTTTTTCACGCTCCTGTTGCTGTTGTTGCTGCTATTGCTGCTATTGCTGCCATTGCTGTTGTTGCTGTTGTTTGTGTCGCTCGGTACTGCAGTTGTTGCCACGTTGCACTGTGTCTACGGGTGTGTTGTTGGCATTGTTGTTGCTAGTTGTTTGTCGACTGTGGGCTGATGAAAAGCTTTTTCGCCGCTCGCCGCAATTCGTTGCGCTGCATTAAGCAGGGCAAAAACATAGAAAAGTCCCTCGAAATATACAAAAAGGTAAGGCTCCAGCTTGCTAACTGTAAGCTTCAACTAATATGCTTAAAGGATTTGTATTTTAATGGATTCTGTCAGTTGAGAAAAATGCCATTTACGCTATTTTAGGCAACAAAACATAGCAGCAAATTACGAACTTTTGGTGTACTTCTGTGCAGATTAAAAATCCCTGAGATACACATACGAGTAGAGCCAAAAATACGAATAGCGAAACGCAGTGCCGAATATAACATTCACCTGATCTTCCAGTTCGTTTCTTCGCTTATCGCACACGCATGCCGTGCCCTTGGACCTCCCCCTGCCGCCCACTGCCGCCCACCGACCAAATCTACCGCCCACACGAGCGCACTTTGCCTTCGTCTTATCAGCAGCAAAAAAAAAAAAAAAAAAAAAAAAGCGAGAAATATAAAAAAATGTAAGCAACAGAGTTTATCGCCAAAACGGCTGAGCACTTGCATATATGCAATTCCAAACAATTTCTCCGCTGTGCGAGTTTTGTTTCTAATTGAATTTCAGGCGTTTTCAATTTCTTTTTTTGTCAGCTTGCTTTGGGTTTACGGCTCGTTAGACTGATAATGCACAAGCAAATGACTGATAAAGCCAAAGCCGGCTATAATAATAATAATAATAATAGCAACAACAACAAAACTGATACTAGTGCGAACTGCAACAACAAAAATGGTCAAATATGTTCACGGCCGTTTTAGTCATTTTAGCTTAATCAACACGACAGAAAGTCTGTCAGCCAATAAAATACAATCGTTGTGCTATAAAGTATATCCAAGAATGATAAAATGCATTTTGTGTGTCATTTAAACTTAAAGCCAACCACATCTAATTTGGAATGTGATTTACACATGTTCTACAGCACACTTTAGCTAACTTAAATCCTTACTAAAAATATATTTTTGAATTTTTTAATTTCTAAACTTATTTCTTAACAGTGGTATTAGTTATAAGTTTGAGCATTTAACAGCACACTTTAGCCAACTTTTAGTATATTAGAATAAAACCGTGCTAAAAGTATATTTTTGAATTATTTTAATTTCTAAAATATTTCTTAACAGTGGTATTAGTTACAAGTTTGAGTAGAAAATCTTTACGTAACTACCACACTGGCACGGCCCACACTGCGTATGCTTGACGCATCGCGTATACGCCATGTGTGTGTGATCGTGCGCTATATGCGATTTCACGCGACTTGACTCACCCTGTTTGCTTATGCAGCAGGCAGCGGCAAATAGAACACAAATATTACACCGCGCTGGCAAAGATAAATATTGCACAAAATCCCGAATCTCAGTCGCTAAGTGAATTTTCCTATTTCCTTTTCTTCTTCTTAAGCTTGTTGACCAATTTCCTTAATTTATATCATGTGCTTGGCCTTTCGGACTTCCTTGAACTTTATATGCGTTATGCATGCATTTTCAAACGTGGCGTTTATTTCTTGTGCGCTCTTTGCACATTACACAAAAACACCGAAAAAAAAATTAATATATATAGAAAAACGTTGCGAATATTAAGAGTGCGACGGATAATTAGGGGGAATTATGAAGGCGAACGGCACGAACTGAAAGGAATTTTTGCCTTTGAACACGTAGACGCGACGCAGACGCGATGACGACGCGGCAGCGACGCGAACGGCGGCGTCAGCAGAAAACGCGTGCAGCCTTGAGAAGATCGCGATAGCGACTGAAACGGCAGCAAATTCACCAAGAACATGCACAAATCTCAAACGGCAATACAAACAAAAAAAAAAGTACATAAGAGAATAGTATCGCCCAAAACGCCAGGCGATTTTTGCGCGCGTTTTAAAACGCGCGCGCGCACGCTGAGAAAGGATGTTGCGGCTGTGTTGCGGCTGTTGCAGCTGCTGTTGCCGTTGCTGCAACAGTTGCTGCTGCTGCTGCTACTGCTGCTGCCTGTGCCGTTGCTGCAACTTGTCGTTGCAGTTGCCTCAGTGGGAAAACGCGCGACGACGCATACAAATAACTAACTAACAGCGACTGTAGTAAAATGACAACTGAAACCGCAGCAGGCGAAATGAAAACGAGTAACGATAGAGCAAAAAAAAAAGTAAAAAAAAAATAAAATAGAAGAAAAAAATACAAGGCACACACACACAAGCAGCCGCGGGCAAAATAAATAAAATAAAAATTGACGATGGGCAGCGGCGACGACGCCGACGCCAAACGCAGCTGCAGTTGGCTGGTTCTACGGGTCAGAGATGCCAAAACGCTAATGATTTTGTCGGAAAATCAGCGCCCAGTTAGCTGTCGCCCGCGTTATGCAACACTTTATATAACCATGTTTTAAGTCAATTTTTAGTATAATTTTTAGGTATATTTTTCTTATCGCAAGCACATTTAAAGTGCGGAATCTTCGGTATACTTTCCTTATACTGACTCAAATAAAAAAAACTGCAATTAAAAGAGTCTCAAAATCTGAATCTCAAACTAAATCTATTATTCCAAATATTTGTGGCGCTCTGGAGTTATATTCCCATATTTTCCATCAAAAACGCGATCCAAAAATTAAGTAATATCTCAGCTTTTTTCTGAGTCTCAACCCAGATCAGCACTGATTCTAACATTCTTTTTGCAAACTTTTCACTTTTCGCTGCACTCACCGTCGAGATGCAGTGCGAGCGAGAGGTGGGCGGCGCGGCGAGCGAGCGGGACGGAGCTGCGCTGAGCGGAACGGAACGGCCAGTGCGACAGAGAGGGGGCGAGAGCGGGCGGCGGCGCTTTGCTGCCACGCTTCGTCAGCTGTTCGTTAGTCGCTTTTCTCCTTTTTGTTTTTATTTGTCGTGTGTGCGGAAGTGCAGAGCGTGGCGGTGGCGACGACGCCGGCAGAGGCGGTAACGTCGGCAGCGGAACGCAGCGGCGTAAGTGCAAGGCCGTGCGAAAGAGAGGCAGTGATGGCGGAAGCGAGAGGGCGCGAATAGTGTGGGACGGAAACAGGTTTCTCGAATTTTTTTAATAATTTTATTTATAGTGAAATGAAATTCACTCGATTTATTCCAGTCTCTTCTACTTCAGCTCAGTTTTCCTTCTTACTATTATTTTTTAAAATTTAAAATAAATTAAAAAATAAATTAAATAAATATAAATTTATAGAAAAGCATTTGAAATTTTAAACTACCAAGCCTTTAGGTCTTATATTTTTTATATTATATCAATCATATATAAAATGAATTTAAATTGATCGGTGTAAAATTGCGATTAGCGCGTTGTTTTTTCATTTCACCCACTCTTTACTCAGTTTACAGCCACAGTCATCCATGGCAGTGCACAGAAAGAAATCAGACATGCATCCCATTCGTTGAACATATGAATGGTGCTTTAGAATACTCTTAATAAATTAAATATTTCTCAGTTTAGGGGGTATTAAAAGGCTTGATTAAAGTATTGCTAAAAACAATAGCTGAATAAGATTTTTAATTGAATTCCCTAATTTTCTTCTCTGTGTACGGAAGTCTTCTCCCATTCCATTCGCAAATTGCACGCGCGTGCCCTTGAAAATTAACCGAGCAATCGAGCCAAGGCAGTTGTTGCCAAGACCCCACAGCCGCCCACCCGCCCCTCCCCCCCTTAGATGAGCTCCTTCACCGCCCCCTTCCCCGCGGCACTTTCAAACTGTTTGCTGGCAAACAAAAGAAAGTGCACAAATTGTTGAAATTTTCTTAGCGAAATCAGCAACAAACGAATTCGAATCTCGCACGTAAAATGTTGCTGAGAGCCAATGGCCAATGGTTTTCATTGCCAAACACAGTTTTTATACAAATGCGGTAAGGTTTTTCTTTTTTCCTTCCTCTTTTTTATTTATTTGTTTTTCTTTTTTGCATCGCTATTTTTCACCTAGTTGCGCAAAAGGAACGAAAATAATTCGCCAAAAAATCAACACAAATCACAAGGTATAAGGCGTAGGATCTGAAGTACGCAAGGAATGGGAAAAGGGTAGTAAGTGCGGGTATGGCGATAAGGGGTTAAGGTTTGTCCAAAATATTCAAAACCAATAATATATTTTAAAGTGAGATCGCTGTGCAAGGAGCGCACATTTACTGAAACTAATTAAGTTCTCTTTCCCTGTTAAATATATTTAATATGTTAAATATTATATTCGCACTAGATATTCGCACTATGCGATATTTTTGGGCAAGAAAATTAAAAAATTTTTCTTGGGATTTTCGATGGCAATTTTCTGCGGTCGAGAAGAGTGTAAAAGGCTAAGACTTTCCAAGTGTGTACATGCATAGACATGCACAGGCCGATTTACATATCTGTGCCGATCTGCACACATGTGCTGGTATGTATGTGTGTTTGTTTGTGTGTTTTATGTGCGCACGCTGCCAACTGCGAGAAAAACTACAATGTTCAAGGTCGTGCGGCGAATGCACCTAAAGCAACAACAACAAACGGAGCAACAAAAATAACAAACAATCGGTCATTCAGACGGATAGCATACGCAAAATGTTTGAGTTCTACAAATTGCAAAAACTAGTGCAGGAAACCAAATGGCGACACACACCCATGAAAGGTACAGTGGGCCCTCGAGAGCTGGTAACTATGATTTCAATTGGTTTACAAATACTAATATACCACTTTTGTTTCGTTTTATAATATAACATTTGATACATGACATGGTGACTTTGGGAGATTTATGCAGATCAAACAGTCATACTTTGCAGGCTTTTAAATATGTGTAGGGTTTAAACTACAAACGATACGTAATATTTTTTTTTATAGAGAAAATTGCCCAAAAGCCCTTAAATGATATTCGATCTTCTACTGTACGCATGTACATACATACATGCAGATGTATGTATGTATATAGAACAACAATTTGCGCCCGTCAATTGCAAGCGCGTCGCTGCCGACGTCGACCGCGGCTGCGGCCGCGGCAGCGCCGTCGCTGCCATTGAATTTTCACTGTCAAGGTCGAACGTTGTTCTGATGCGCAACGCAATGCGCAATGCGATCGCCGAGTGGGTGTGCGAGTGGGATGGCGAGCGGGGGCGGTGGATCGCGACGAGGGAGAGGGCCGATATGTGCGAACGAAAATGAGAACACAGCGGAGAAGGAGAACGGGTGCACAAAAGCTGTGGGAGAATGCTAAAATGCGAAAGAAGGAACGTACGAAGAACAAAAAAAGAACACGAGAATGTGGGAATGGAGAATGCACACGGACTCTGCTTCTTCTTCTTTTACTTCTGCTGCTTCTTCTTCGCCGCACAAGGCGCGCACAGTGGGTGGGATCAAGCATCAAATAGCGATCGCCCTAATGTATGTATGTGCACTAATATTTATTCGGACACTTTGAAAAATAAATAGTAGTTCCTAGTTTGTTATAAGTAAGTAGTGGTAGTGGTAAAAGTATTTAATAACAAATCCAATTCCTTAGTACACTTTTTACTTTATTTTTTGTTTTAATATTTGGACACGTGTAGAATTAAATTCTTGCACTGCCCAAACAATTATATACGCCCTAAGATAAATTCCTATAGCTGAATTACATTTGCAATGCCCCACAAAGTATGCAATATTTATCATTCACAAAAACTAAACGTATTCTGAACGTAAATGAATTTCTAAATAATTTATTCGATAACGTACAAATGTCTGAATTCGTTTTCAATTAAATTTCCATTTCGTTCGTTGGCGTTCCGCCCATTCCAACACTGTTCGTCATTTCCCTGTCGATCACCCCTTGACCCACTGTGCGGGTGTATCTGTACGTAAGTATGTGTTTGTGTGTGGGCGCTGTGGCGGAAACGATATGCGGCTTATGTAATGCGACAGCGACAACAACAATCAGCGGCGACGCGTTGGCAGCGTCGAGTGCATACGCACACGCTTCCACCGCCCACCGCCCATCACCCCCTTCACCCAGAGCCCCACTGAACACCCACACCCCACTACCCCAGTACCCCCGCCCCACCAGCGGCGTTTGCTAAACGCTTCCTGCACATTGTTGCTACGCTTTTCATATCGCTCGGCGTCTGTTTCTTTTTCTCTGTGTGTACTCTTATTTTTTCCCCCTATTATTTTTTGATTTCTTTTTGCAGCGCCTTTTGTGCTATTTGCATGTTTTCCTATCGCATTTGTTTTCTCAAGTTCGCGCGCAGCTCTTGTGCAATTTGTCATAATACCGCCCCGGTGCTATCCACGCTAACCCACTATACCATACCATTCCCATTACCACTGCCATTCCCATTCCCAGTCCCATTACCGTTCCCACCCACCCGCACACGCGGCGTATGCGTAATATTTCAAGAGAAGTGCGCACAAAAAATTGCAGCGTTTTGTCAGCGGCAAAACGTAAACAAAAACAAGCCGCCGCCAAATGCACTTTTCGCCATAAATCAGCGAAGAGAATGGAAAAATCAGCGGACGCAGGGCCAGGGGGTGGAGGGGCAGGTAGGTAGGAGGCGGTAATATCGGGGATGGTTACAGACCCGCGGGCGCCACGCCCTCTGCCGGGCAAATG